CTATTGTGCAACTGCTATTAGGCAGGCTGCCTGAAAGCCTTTGCTGAACCCCAGCTGCATGAACTTAGAGTTAATTGTTTCACTTTTGAAATTATTAGTATGTCCTGCTCTGCCTCTGTTATTTCAGTGGCTGCTCTTGCTATATTTATTTGCTTAACATTTTGCCTTTCCTTGTATAGTTTTAAGCTCACAAAGAAATAAATATAAATACTTCAGGAGAAGAGTTTCATCAAAATATAAGGAAACATCACTGCCTTGGAATATAAATCTAGAGGTACCTCCCTTACACAAACTCTGTAAGAGAATTCAACACAAGTTGATGTGAGCAGAAAAAACCACAATGTGCAGGAACAAGAAGCCAGAAAGTCTTTTTTTCCGTAAGAATGCAGATATACAGCAGCTCCATCTTCTAGGCTTCCTACCTAACTTGAAAACTCAGCAACATACAGATAAAATAATGTATCAGATGTCCATTGACGATACAAATACAGATGGATTTGTATTCATTCACTCACTGACTTCACCTCGTGGTGATACCGCCGATGTTCCACGTCTCTGTTTCTTTACCATTAACAGGTGTTGAATAGTATAGGATATCTCAGGGCACCCTCAAAAACTATTGTTGTACAGACCAAATCAAATCAGATACCTCAAAAGTAACAGAGCATAGATTCTCTTCTCGTAGACAAGGAAGGAGAAGCAGGGATAATAAGCTCGCTGAGGGATAAAGTCATAGATTTAGGGGAGATTGGGAAGACACTGTGTAGGTTAAAGACTCATCCAGAAGATGTACTAGGGGCACTCCTCGCTTTAGAGCGAGTTCGAGTCAATCTATATTACGTAAAGGCGATGTCGACTCAGAATTATTCCCAAAGTTGTCAAAAATATGACCTATGTAATAGAAACCATTCACCCAGTATTTGGGGATTCATCTCCATTCCTTTTTCCTTCTTTAGATGAAAGGATTTAGATAAATGGGACAGATAGAACTGTCTCTTTACTCCCTGAAGCACAGCAGAACATGCTGCACCAGACAGAGCCTCTGGAAGCCTGGCCCTGCTGGACCCACAGGGTGAATTTCAAAGCCATTGCAAGTCCCTGACTTTTCAGCCCTTCAGCCTGTACCAGAAAAAAGGCTTGAAAGCCCTTCTGCTGGTGTGGGCTTTATGTTCTTTATGTTTTAGTCCTCGCCATCTAACAACGGCGTGTCTTGCTCCTGCCTCTGACAGGGCTTATAAGGTTTGTTTCTGGTTTCATCCTGGAAATTTAATTACTTGGATACATGGTGCATAGCACAGGGCATACAGATTAGGAGAGAGCATCTGAAGGGCTACAGGAAAATGCACAATAGAGCTGACCCAAGAAGACCTCAAAGCAGTGGAGCTCAAAACCACAGCGTATTCAGAAGGCCGAAGGTCAGCTGCATTTGCCTGTGGGCTGGCTGTGTTATCACATGTGCATAAAAACGTGGTTTATGTTCTGTCTCTATTGCCGGGGGTCTGTACAGAGTAACTCTGACTGTGTGGAGTTGCACAAATGACGATACCTCTGCAGCGCTGAGAGGTTTCTATGAAAGGTGAAGCCAAAGGACTGCACTCGTGCAATTAAATCCAACTCGCGCGCAGAGGGGGGAGGAATGATTACATCAAAGTGTGAACACACTGCAAAAACCGTTACACATCCCCTACTATTCCCTCCGTGGTGGGTTCAAATCCCCATTAATCTGCTTCCTGCTTTCAGGTCACAGCCCCATCACATCTCCCCACGGCCCCCATTGCTCAGCCCCGGCGCTCGGCCCTGCCGTGGCCACTGCTCAGCCTGGTGCTGACACCAAAGGCACACTTTATGTAGTTTATAAATGTTAAACTGTAGAGAATCTTCTTTTAGAAAAGAAATGTAGCTATTTTAGTAACTATCCCCAAATGGTTTCAAGGACTTAGTAAGATAAGAAAGGGTGTCTGTGGCCCTGAGAACATGGTGACCTAAGACAGGGATGCAATAAACATGGACACTGTCTGACAAACAGGTGGTAGCAGGGAGATCATTAGCTTTAATGAGCAATTAAGCAGTTAGAATGTTTTGCCAACATGAAAAGTGAGCCAAAGGCCAGGTGAAGAAGATGGAGGAAGAAACGACCCTCTCTCAAAATGAGGACCACCAGAAGGCACAACTACACATGCCCCAAAGCTGCTTATAACGTGTAAATGAATTCTTGGAAATGTAATGAATATGCTAATGTTTTATTGGGATTATACTGAATATCATAGAATCATAGAATGGTTAGAGTTGGAAAGGACCTTAAAGATCATCAAGTGTCCCTAACTCTGATAAAAACATCACCAAACCATGTCCCTCAGCACCAGGTCTGTCCCGGCTTCTAAATACCTCCAGGGATGGCCATTCCACCACTGCCCTGGGCAGCCTGTTCCAATGTTCGATAACCCTTTTGGTGTAGAAATTTTTCCTAATATCCAATCTGAACCTCCCCTGGTGCAACTTGAGGCTGTTTCCTCTTGTCCTATCGCCTGTGACTTGGGAGAAGAGACTGAAATTCGCCTCTCCACACCCTCCTCTCAGGGAGGTGTAGAGAGTGAGAAGGTCTCCCCTCAGCCTCCTTTTCTCCAGGCTGAACACCCTCAGCTTCCTCAGCTTCTCCTCATAAGACTCGTGCTCCAGACCCCTCTCCAGCTTTGTTGCCCCTCTCTGGACTACAGAATTTATACTTCTCCGTATAAATTAAAAAATACTATAACAGAGGGCAACTGGTGTGGTTTACAGAGTGAGGAGCGCTGCTAAGGCAGACCAACCGCGGCCTTTGCCTGTATTAGGGCGCCCCCTGCCCCGCGGAGGGAGGCGACGCCGGCCGCCAAAGCCCGCCTCAGCCGGAGGGCGGCAGGGCGCCGCGGGCAGCGAGCCGAGACGAGTGAAGCCGAACCCACACGAGCCGAGCCGAGTCGAGGCGGGTCGAGCCGAACCCACACGAGCCGAGACGGGTCGAGCCGAAGCCACACGAGCCGAGCCGAGAAGCGGTGCTCCAGACCCCTCTCCAGCTTTGTTGCCCCTCTCTGGACTACAGAATTTATACTTCTCCGTATAAATTAAAAAATACTATAACAGAGGGCAACTGGTGTGGTTTACAGAGTGAGGAGCGCTGCTAAGGCAGACCAACCGCGGCCTTTGCCTGTATTAGGGCGCCCCCTGCCCCGCGGAGGGAGGCGACGCCGGCCGCCAAAGCCCGCCTCAGCCGGAGGGCGGCAGGGCGCCGCGGGCAGCGAGCCGAGACGAGTGAAGCCGAACCCACACGAGCCGAGCCGAGTCGAGGCGGGTCGAGCCGAACCCACACGAGCCGAGACGGGTCGAGCCGAAGCCACACGAGCCGAGCCGAGAAGCGGCGAGGGGCGGAGCCGCCCGCCATCGTCGGGCCGCCGCTGCGGCTTGGCGGGCAAACGCGTGAGGGGCTTGTTTGCGGGCGGTTGCTCCCGTGAGGGGCTGGTTTGCGGGCGGTGGGTCCGACCGTTGGGACATCAACATGGAAACGGGAGGTGAGAGGAAACCTCCTCCAGTTCCGTCTCTTTCTGAGGGAGGTGCGGGCTGCCCAGCTGCCAGTCACGGGCGACTCTGCTTTGGGCTGAATCTGTAGCAAATTCTGCCTCTCACTCATGGCTGTGAGAGAAATAGCCAGTCCTGGATGTCTCAAATGCGAAACGTCAGGACCTAGCAGAAACAAACTGCAGCGAACAACTTTATGGGTAAAAGGACTTTGAGAAAGTCCTCGTGTGGGACAGGCGGCCATTTTCAGCCTGACAGAGGTGACGCTTCCCTGAAAAAATAACCAGGGTTTTTGTAACCGGGTCAATGCACCTGCACTTACCAGAGTAACACCTCTTCAAAATCACTCTGGGACTCTCCACTTCAGGGCAAGACACACAATTTCACCAGGACAAATAGCTACAGAGTTCAGTATCTAATGGTAGAGGTTGTGTTCGGGGAAGAATGGCCTTCCAAAGCCACATACAAAAAAACACACAGGACAGTATGTTTCAAGGTCTTCCTTTATGTATGTTTGTAAATGGATGGCAGTTTATAAGACTAAATTATCATGCATGATTTCATAGAATCGTAGAAGGGTTAGAGTTGGAAGGGACCTTAAAGATCATCGAGTTCCAACCCCCCTGCCCTGGGCAGGGACACCTCCCACCAGACCAGGTTGCTCCAAGCCCCATCCAGCCTGGCCTTGAACCCCTCCAGGGATGGAGCAGCCACAGCTTCTCTGGGCAACCTGTTCCAGTGTCTCACCACCCTCACAGCAAAGAATTTCTTATGGTATCTAATCTAAATCTCTCCTCTTCCAATTTAAGACTGTTACCCCTTGTCACTGCACTCCCTGACAAAGAGTCCCCCGCCATCTCTCCACTGTCCATGTCTCCAACAAAGAACCCCCAGCAAGTGGAAACCAGAGCTCTGCAAACGCTGCGGGTGCCCAAGGAAACACAGAGAGAGCTTGGGGCTGAAACACTGACAGCTCTTTAGGAACAACCAAACACACAACTCTTTATTATCAACCAAACATTGGTGAAAGAACCCAACTCTTTATGAAGAACAAACACGTAACTCTTTAAGAACCAAAAAGCAGATAACTCTCTAAGAACAAAACCCCTACAACTGTTCCTGAACCAACCACCCACCGTCTCCAACTGTGTCCAGCTCTTCCTCCTCCTGGCTCCGCTCCCTCGCCGCCGGTCCCCGCTCCTCTGCTGTCCCTGGCAGCAAAGCCAGCGTCAGGGCCGTGTGGCTGAGGAGCAGCGCCTGGCCGAGCAGAGCTGGGCCTTCCCGAGCCGGCTCAGCGGCAGCAGCTGCTTGGGGTCGGGCTTGGCCCTGAGGGGCATTGGATGGGCACAGCCCTGGGCCACGCTGGGGAGAGCGGGACTCTGCCGCCAGCGCTGAGCCCCGGCTGGGCTGCGGGTGACACTGGGCTGTCCCAGCCCCAAGAAACCCTTCCCATGGCCAAGTGGAGGGGGGCTGAGGGCAGCGCGGTGGGGGCGGTGGTGCCGCCATCTGGGGGGACCGTGTCCCTGGAGCGGGGCCCCAGCCACTCCAGCCCCAGCCCGGTGGCAGGAGACCCTCCCTCCATGCTGGCAGTGGATGGGGAAGACGTGCCTGAGCTGGTGCTGGTGGGTCTACATCCATTGCCTCCTCCCCCTCCTCGTCCACCTCCATCTCTTCCACCTCTTCCTTCACATCAATCTCCATCTCCTCTTCCCTCTCCAACCACACACTGTTGGCAGCCTCTTGTGCAGCCTCCAGCGCAGCCTCCAGCGCAATTTGGCACAGCCTGAGGCGAAAGGCAAGCAGAGAAGTGCATTGGTCCTTCCCTGGGCAGCCAAGCGGACCCGTGGGCCAGGGCTCTTGGCACCCTGATCCCTCCCTCTGGCCTTGTCCCCAGCAGCAGCTGGAGGGACAGGGGTGGCTCCTTGGCCACCAGCAGCCACCAGGAGTCTTGGGCCAGTGCCTGCAGCTGGAGGCTGCGGTTCTTCTGCAGCTTCAGCGCCTCGGCGTGCCTCAAGGTCTTGTTGATCTGCTGGAGCAGAGAGGGCAGGGGTGAGGGACCCTGTTCCCTGCCCCACGCCACCCCGGGCACTGACCCCAGCCCCGTGACTGCCCAGAAGCCCCTTACTTTATGGAGGCACGCTTTGGGCTGGGCACTGAGCACTGGGATGGGATGAGCTCCCACGGCTCCAGCCTGGAAAGGGGCAGAGAAGGCACCGGCTCAGGCTCCGGGCAGCACCCGGCTGCTCCCGGCGAGCATCCCTCCGGCAGGAGCCCGGGGTGCCCTGGGCTCCCCTGGGGACGTGTCCCCCCGCGCAGGGATGCTCCATGTGAGCAGGGCATGGGCAGCCCAGAAGGGCTTCTCCAGCCCCTGGCCTTGCAGGGGTGGGGGGAGCAGGCGAGCCGAGCTCCCAGAATCTTCTAGGTTGGAAGGGACCTTAAAGATCGTCTTGTCCAATTTTTGTTTTTGGCAGTCAGCTGGTATGCTAGCTCATACTGGGGTGAAATGACACCCTTGGTTTGCGGGGAGAGCTAAAAAGGCCTTTCCTTTTAGAAAGGACGCCACCCAGGACACAGTCAGGCATCTTTTCCCCCCTCTTGCCCGGCCAGACTCCCTGTCTCACTGGGAAAGGCTGGAGCTGACAGGCATCGTTCTTTCATTCAGCCAGAGGTGGAAGCTGAAGTGATTTCAGAGAAGTGTTACTTGGTGATCAGAAAATGGACAACACTGGGTGATGCTCTTCAGATCACAAAACCAGGAGGCAACTCACAAGCAGTGGACGGAAAATTCATTTCTGCACTTTAGTACTTGTCGCGTTCAGTGAATTTGCACTTTGCCAGATTTTAAACGTGCAGAAAGAGGATTTAGCGAGTGAGTTATGAGGTGACTTAGTGAGTACCACTGGGTCACGTCTTTCCCACTCTAGGCAGAAAGCCTTCCCCACAGCGTTTTAGGCAAAACCCCTACATTGAATCCTCACAGAGATGGTGCAGGTGCTCCACAAGCACCAATCTACTGCAGAAGGTGAGATAAAGAAAGAATTTCAGCTCTCTATCCCAACAGTCCCCAACAGCTAAGACCCTCTGTCTGATGCAGACCATAGATTTGATTTCCCCTTAAATGAAAACAGAAACAAAGCCAACAAAGGTCAGAACTTGACACCGGAGCTGCTCTATCCAGCTATATCCTACGATTATTCCCTAACACAACTCTACTTTCATTCCAGAGCTGCAGTTCCCATCTGACGGGGCTAAGCTTGCTCCCGGCCCCCCGAGCAGCTGGGGGTGCCCATCTCTGTCAGGTGGCACCGTACCCCTGGCAGCACAATCTCCTTCTTTACCTGGGCTTTCATGGTGTGAAGGCAGGGATTGGGATGAGGGTGACCGGAGCAGAGGGAAAGGGCTGGGTGGTGGGTCTGGAGGGTCAGGAGAACCCAAACTTTAGACTTCCAGCCTGTCTTAAGGGGTTCTTCCCGACCCTCCCATCAGTGAACAAGTGGGCTTTGCCCAGAGCGTTGCAGAGTGTCTTTGGGACACTGGGGCAAGTGGTGCCCGTCCTTCCCAAAGGGCTCTGGAGGTATGGAAATGCCAGGGAAAAAGCAATCCCGTCCTCATGGACAAGTGCCAGCCCCGTCTCCAGGCAGCACCTGCCGGGGCTTGGAGCCACCCACCCCTCCTCATCCTCCATTGGGCAGCTCCGGTGCCTGGTGTGACACTCCCCTGGGGCTGCCCAGGAAAGTCCCAGGAGGTGACAGCCCTTCTTTTCCCTTCACACCGCTGCTCACCTCCATCCCTGGCAGAGGGAACACTTCCTGACGTCTGCGGCCACTTTCTGCACCGGTTGTTACCATTTTCCTTTTCAAATGGGGTGTTTTCCCTCTCTACAGCCCCACGGGACTGGGGTGATGGGCACAAGGACCCTTTGGGTCTCCCTGTAGGGCTGCCCACAGTTTCTGTTGCCTTCTCGACTAAAACTGATCCCCTCCTTGTCCTCTCCTCTCAGGGGAGAGGAACCCCAGGAATTAGATTTTAGCAGCTCTTTTTTGGCCGCCACTCTTTCATCTGCAGGTTTCCAAGGGCAGGCCTGCATCCTGAGAAGACATCCCAGGTGACAAGGACACTCTCCAAATTACACCATCGCAACACCCAACTAGAGGAAATTTGCCAGTTGGCAAATGGTGCCCAGGCTTTAGGGGCTGCAGCCCCACTTGTCTTCTCCTCCTCTCTTGTCTCATTCGCTTGAGAAGTTGTCCGAGCAAGAGGAAGATTCAAACATTGCTCAGCGAGCTTTGGTCATTTGCACCTTCATTGCTGACAAAATGAAACTACAACATAGAGCTATTGGTTACCCCAAAAAATGATAGAAGCATAGAATGGTTTGGGTTGGAAGGGACCTTAAAGATCATCGAGTTCCAACCCCCCTGCCATGGGCAGGGACATCTCCCACCAGACCAGGTTGCTCCAAGCCCCATCCAGCCTGGCCTTGAACCCCTCCAGGGATGGGGCAACCACAGCTTCTCTGGGCAACCTGTTCCAGTGCCTCACCACCCTCGCTGTAAAGAATTTCTAAATCTCCCCTCTTCCAATTTAAACCCGTTACCCCTTGTCCTGTCACTGCACTCCCTGACAAAGAGTCCCCCGCCATCTCTCCACTGTCCATGTCTCCAACAAAGAACCCCCAGCAAGTGGAAACCAGAGCTCTGCAAACGCTGCGGGTGCCCAAGGAAACACAGAGAGAGCTTGGGGCTGAAAAACTGACAACTCTTTAGGAACAACCAAACACACAACTCTTTATTAACAACCAAACATTGGTGAAACAACCCAACTCTTTATGAAGAACAAAGACGTAACTCTTTAAGAACCAAAAAGCAGATAACTCTCTAAGAACAAAACCCCTACAACTGTTCCTGACCCAACCACCCACCGTCTCCAACTGTGTCCAGCTCTTCCTCCTCCTGGCTCCGCTCCCTCGCCGCCGGTCCCCGCTCCTCTGCTGTCCCTGGCAGCAAAGCCAGCGTCAGGGCCGTGTGGCTGAGGAGCAGCGCCTGGCCGAGCAGAGCTGGGCCTTCCCGAGCCGGCTCAGCGGCAGCAGCTGCTTGGGGTCGGGCTTGGCCCTGAGGGGCATTGGATGGGCACAGCCCTGGGCCACGCTGGGGAGAGCGGGACTCTGCCGCCAGCGCTGAGCCCCGGCACCTGTCCATCTCCTCTTCCCTCTCCAACCACACACTGTTGGCAGCCTCTTGTGCAGCCTCCAGCGCAGCCTCCAGAGCAATTTGGCACAGCCTGAGGCGAAAGGCAAGCAGAGAAGTGCATTGGTCCTTCCCTGGGCAGCCAAGCGGGTGAGGGACTCTGCTCCCTGCCCCACGCCACCCCGGGCACTGACCCCTCCAGGGATGGGGCATCCACGACCTCCCTGAGTAACCTGTTCCAGTGCCTCACCACCGTCTCTGTAAAGAATTTCTTCCTGATATCTCACCTAAATCTCCCCTCTGTCAATTTAAAACCGTTACCCCTTGTCCTGTCACTGCACTCCCTGACAAAGAGTCCCTCCCCAGCTCTCCTGTAGCTCCCTTCAGATATTGAAAGGCCATTAGAAGGTCTCCCCGGAGCCATCTCTTCTCCAGGCTGAACAACCCCAGCTCTCTCAGCCTGTCCTCACAGCAGAGGTGCTCCATCCCTCTGATCATCTTCGTGGCCCTCTGCTGGGCCCGTTCCAACAGGTCCATGTCCCTCCTGTGTTGAGGACTCCAGAGCTGGACACAGAGCTCCAGGTGGGGTCTCACGAGCACAGAGTAGAGGGGCAGAATCACCTCCTGTGACCTGCTGGCCACGCTTCTCTTGATGCAGCCCAGGATGGGGTTGGTTTCTGGGCTGCCAGAGCACACATTGCCGGCTCATGTTGAGCTTCTCATCCACGAGCAGTCCCAAGTCCTTCTCCTCAGGGCTGCTCTCCAGCCATTCTCCGCCCAACCTGTATTTGTGCCTGGGGTTGCCACGTCCCAGGTGCAGGACGCTGCACTTGGCTTGGTTAAACCTCATGCAGTTTGCACGAGCCCACCTCTCCAGCCTGTCCAGGTCCCTCTGGATGGCATCCCTTCCCTCCCTCCAGCGTGTCGACCACACCACCAAGTTTGGTGTCATCAGCAAACTTGCGGAGGGTGCACTCTATCCCACTGTCCATGTCTCCAACAAAGATGTTGAACAGCACTGGTCCCAGTACAGACCCCTGAGGAAGCCCACTCCTCACTGGCCGCCAATTGGACAGTGAGCCATTGACCACAACCCTTTGAATGTGGCCATCCAGCCAGCTCCTTATCCACCGAGTGGTCCATCCATTGAATCCATTAGTTTCCAATTTTGAGACCAGGATGTCATGCAGGACAGTGTTGAACACTTTGCACAAGTCCAGGTAGACAACATCTGTTGCTCTGCCCTTGTCCACCAAGCATGTGGCAGTATCATAAAAGGCCACCAAATTTGTCAGGCATGCTTTGCCCTTGGTGAAGCCATGTTGGCTGTCTCCAGTCACCTCCTCTGTGCCTTAGCAGAGATTCCAGGAGGATCTGCTCCATAATCTTGCCAGGCACAGAGGTGAGACTGACTGGCCTGTAGTTCCCTGGGTCTT